TGTAAATGTGGAACGTTACAAACAGGTTTATATCTTTTTGTTACCTCTTCTTATGTTCTGAGATAAAATGAAATCTGATTTTTAAAATCAGAATATTTTTGTTACGTAATAGTACATTGAAAAACATCTTAAAATGGCTTTTATTGAGGAAGACTTAAATGGAAAGATATATATGCAATGTTTGTGGATTGGAAGACTTAATATTGTCAAGATAGCATTAAAAAAAAATTGATCTATAGATCCAATGTAATCTCAGACAAAATCCCAGCAGACTTTTGTAGAAATTAAGAAGCTGATTCTGAAGTTTATATGAGGAAACAAAGAACCTGGAATAGCTACAACAAATTTGAAAAGGAAGAACAAGTTGAAAGACCCAAACAACCCGAATTCATGATTTACTCTAAAGCTACAGTGACAGCCTGTGTGGTATTGGTGAAAAGGATAGACACACAAATCAATGGAGGAGAATAAAACAGGGAATGGCAAACTTTACCTGTGAGGGACCAAATAATAAATGGTTTTTGGCTTTGCAAGACGTATGCCTTACAACAAGCTTATCCAACCTGCGGCCCAGGGCAGCTTGGAACGTGGCCCAACACAAGTTTGTAAACTTTAAAACATGAGATTTTTTGCTTTTTTTTTTTTTTTTTTTTTTAAAGCTCATCTTCTGTTATTAGTGTATTTTATGTATGGCCCAAGACAATTCTAATTCTTCTTCAAACCAAACGATTGGACACCCCTGGTCTACAACTACTAACACTGCAGATATGGTGCAAAAGCAGCCACAGACAATATGGAAGTGAACGGGCATGGCTGTGTTCCAGTAAAACTTTATTTGTAAAAACAAGCAGCAGCTCAGTTTACTGATCTCTCACTAGACAATCCATAATAGACCCAGATATTTATGATCAGTTATTTTTGATAAAAGTACAAAGGCAACCTTTTCAGCAAGTGATTCTGGAACAATTTGATGTTTATATGCAAACAACAAAAAACCCTGAACCTTGACCCTCATCCCTTATACCGTACAGAAAAAACAAAATCTATCAGAGACCTAAATATAGAACCTAAAACTGTTAGAAGAAAACACAGAGGAAATCTTTATGACCTAGGATTAGACAAAGATTTCTGAGGATGCACAAGCACAAGCCATGAAGAAAAAAGCTCACTTTTGAGAGGCCAAGGCAGATGGATCCCTTGAGTCCAGGAGTTCGAGACAAGCCTGAGCACCATAGAGAGACCCCATCTCTACAAAAATTACCAAAATTAGCTGGGCATGGCGGAATGTACCTGTAGTCCCAGCTACTCAGGAGGCTTGAGGTGGGAGGATGGCTTGAGCCCAGAAGGTGGACGTTGCATCGAGTGGAGATTTTGCCACTGCACTCCAGCCTGGGCAACAGAACAAGACCTTGTCTCAAAAAGAAAATAGCTTTTAAAGATTAGAAGTGAAGTCTTGGTGAGAAAAATCTCAAATATGATTTTCAAGTTAGTAGTTCAAATGAGTTGCTAGAGGAATAGCTTAAGAGTTTGAAAACAGATTTTAACCCTTATGTGTGTTTTTTTTCTCTTTTAGATTGTTTTGACTGGCATATTGGAGCAAGTTGTAAACTGTAGGGATGCTTTGGCTCAAGAATATCTCATGGAGTGTATTATTCAGGTAGGTGGGAACAT